AAGAGAGCCCAGCTTGGACTCTCAAGGTCTGGGAATTCTGTGTTGCTTTCAGATATCAACTTTTCTATTGTAATATCATTCCTTCTGAGTGAACACACATGCAAGCACAATTTAGTCTTCCCTATCCATCATTTATTCAGGCAAAAAAAAAATAATTGAGATGCAAGCCAGCTGGCCGGTCAGCTGCAGCGGAACGTTATCTGTGTGTCAGTCAGACCCGGTCCACCACAGTCATTGAGTATCTCAGTGTTGTTCAGTGCATTGGTGACTTGGTTATACTGACTGAGGAGGCAGGTGTCATCCTTAAGTTGCTTGTAGCTCTTCATCATAATCTGATTGTCTTTATACCACAAGAACAAGTGAAATACTGACAGGGAACATTTCACTGCACAATGACTACTTTCACTTTTTATACTTTAAGCACATTTTGTACCCCTTAGAATGGGTTTATAAAGAGAGCCACGTGGCCTGTATTTTTGTGTTCTTGATTACTTGACTGTATGTTATCAGAATTAATAGCCTGATCAGGAATTATCTCCTTTTCATCGGTCAGCGTTGCTATAATTAACATGTTGTCAAAGACATACCATACAGCAAATCATGTTTATTGAAAGACTGTAGATAGCAGAAGATAAAAGAATAACTTTCTTAGTTTTTCTTACCAGGAACAAATAACTGATTAAATTACAGAGATAGGGTCTACATTGTCAGTTTAACTTCAAGTTCTGGTTATTAAAGGAGCAAATTCAACCACAAAAGAACAACATTTACTTCAGTAAAGAAAATTAACAAAGAGTGTTCTTCAGAATGTTTGGGAGACAACGATGCATTTCAAATTGCATTCTGTAGATAGAATGTGTGGTCTGATAGCTGCTCCTTAACATCTATCAAAGAAGTTCTCGGTGCAAAAAAAACACCGTGGAGGAACATTCCTCAATATTTCCCTGTTTTGATGTGAAAAAAAGCACAAAAAATTGTGAAAACAGCAGTTACTAATGTCAGTAAGCCGCATATTGTCCCACAATTTATTATTTCATTACTCATCACTGTGTGTTTTTTATGTTTAGTACCACACCTGTAATTATATTTAGTTTGTTAGTATCTTACTGGATACAGTATTCATACATACAGTATGAGTCTTCAATGTGAACCAATGTTCAGTAGCAACAGAACAATCCTGCCTAAAATCTTTTTTTTTAACCTTTACTATTAACCTCTTTTGCAAGGAAGACCTGGCCAGGACGGCTGCATAAAAAGGTTATGTTCTATTTTTGTTGAAACTGTTTTAGAGAGGTTCAATGTACACTGCTCAAATGAAGGGAACACTTAATCATCACAACATGTATCGTCTAACATGTAAACTTCAGGGATATCTGTAAACATAAGCACTTGTGAATCAATGTCACTTGTTTTGGTGCAAATGAAAGTAAAAACAGGTGCACTGGAGCAAGAAAACCTCCAAAAAAGGAATGGTTTGCAGGTGGTGGCCACAGACAATTGCTCTCTCCTTATCCTTCCTGACTGGTTATCAGTTTTTCGTTTTGCTAGCATCGTTGTCACTACTGGTAACATGGGGCAGTACCTGCAGCCTATTCAGGTTGCACAGGTAGTCCATTTCCTCCAGGATGGGACATCCATATGTGCAATAGCAAGAAGGTTTTGCTGTGTCTCCCAGCACAGTCTCAAGAGCATGGAGGAGATACCAGTCGAGTTGCAAGTCTTCTTTGATTTTGTCAAGTCGAGTCTAAAGTCATCATTTTTGTGACTCGAGTCTGACTCGAGTCCAAGTCATGTGACTCGTGTCCACACCTCTGGCATGTAGTTCAGCAATACAAACTCAATAGTTATCAAACAGTGGTCAGATAAAAAGGTATTCTGTGGGAACACTATTAAATGTTCAATTTCAATACCATATACCATATCAAGGTCGAGGGTGTGGTTAAAACAGTGAGTCGGTTCATGAACACTCTCAGAGAAGCCGATGGAATCTAACAAAGAGATAAACGCAGTACTAAAGCTGTCATTCTCAACGTCCACATGAATATTAAAATCCCCTACAATAATACTTTGTCCGTTTTAAGGACTAAAGTTGACAAAAACTCAGCAAATTCAGATAAGAATTCAGAGTACGGACCAGGTGCTCGGTACACTATAACGAAGAGAATTGGTTGCAGTGATTTCCAACTTGGGTGCGAAAGACTAAGAACAAGGCTTTCAAATGAGTTATAGTTTGGTTTAGGTTTAGAGCTGATTAGTAGGCTAGAGTCGAAGATAGCTGCAACTCCACCTCCTCGGCCTGTGCCTCGAGGAATGTGAGTATTAATATGATTGGGAGGGGTGGATTCATTTAGGCTAACATATTCTCCATCACCCAGCCAGGTTTCAGTAAGACAAAATAAATCTATATTATAATCTTTTAAGTTGTTTACTAGTACACCTTTAAATCTGATGTTTAAGAGTCCATATTTAATTATCCTATTGTTTTGCACTATTGCTCTTGTGGTTTTAATTTTTATTAGGTTTTTATGCACAGCTCACAGTTTACCTTTGATTTAAATAATTTCAATGGTCTTGGGGCAGACGCCGTCACTATAGGGTTTTGACTAGGTAAATCCTGAAATGGAGGAGCAGAGAAGTGTGTAAGACTCTGCCTCCTGGTCTCAACTCTGGATTGTCGTGGATTTGGTCAACTAATAAACTTAGCCAGATATCTAGAAATGAGAGCTGCTCCTTCCCAAGTGGGATGGATACTGTCTCTCCAAATCAGATCAGGTCTTCCCCAGAAAGTCTGCCAATGATCTACTAAGTCCACATCGTTTGTTAGTAGCAGCTAAGGATGACTGCTAATCATGCTGGTCATGGCTGACATACCTAAGCTGCTTTTACATACTGTAAATACATCTGCAAATGTAAATGTATGTTACAGTAGATGTGTGCTGTAGACCACCCACTGCATATAAATTAACTTGTTGCAATTTGACTTGTGTATATACTCCTCCTTTCATAGTATGATAGTATGAGTATAATTGGAGGTGCATCTCAAAATGTTGATTGAGTTAAGTATCACTTACTTTGCTGAAGACAAACTCACAGCCAGTAATCAGTCTTCACAAAGCAATTAATGTCATTCATTATGTTGTCATCAGTGAAGGCTTCGGGGTTGACAGTTATGAATATGCAAAATATATAATGTTTTTATTCTCAATATGTTTCTGGTTAAAACACTCACCTCTGCAGCTTGTATCGCACTTGTTTGTGGACCAAGGATAACTAGAATTACAGAAGTAGCTGTCAGACCGCTGGAAGAGCCCATAATAGACAGGGGACAAGACTCCTTGTGTCTGAGAGGACGGGGGAATGTATTCTTACGTTTTCTCACCTTTCTCAAGCTCCAGCTTATCCCCCCATCCCTCTCTTTGTCGGTAATGGTCATTCTGTGGTCCTCATGCTCCAGTTCCTCCTCATCAAACTTGTTTTCTTCTTCTTAACAGTTCCTCTCCTTTCCAGCTCTGTCATGTCAGACTCCTTGCTGGTAGTGTTAGCCTCCCGCTTTCACCTTAGAGCCATTTGGGTTGTTGTGGAATTTGATTCTGAGCATGATGTTGCTATGTTAGTTGTTTGCTTCAGTAGTATTTGCTTTGGTAGTAATTGCTCCGGTAGTTTTTACTATGTCAGTAGTTGCTTCTGTAGTCATTGTCCC